TTTTTTTTTTTTTTTTTTTTTATTAGCCATTAAAAAAAAAAAAGCATGGGGGGGTGCGGAGAAGGGCGGAAGGTGATCAATTCAAAACGAAACCAAAACTCAGGCCCAATCTGCCATGTGTGGTCAGTCCAAGAACTTAAACAAAAACACCAAAACAAGAAGAGTCAGGTGTGTATAACTACATTTGACTTGGCGCTCCTTACAGGTCCAGAATTTAAGGCAGGACAAAATGGCAGCAGAATTAGTTGCTGTGGCTCCCACATCCATGGCAATTAACATTACCACTGCTCTCTGGTTTACACACAAAAAAAAGTGGGGAGCCCTTTAGGACTAATGGCACGACTCCCTAAATTGGATTGGGCCTGCAGGTTATAATCTTGGTTACTACTTTTAAAAGCCACCTTCTATTGTGTGACAGGGATATTTATGCATACTTGCCTCATACAGCACATGAGGGGCATGAAGAGGGACACGAACTGTGAAGTGTGTGCCATTATCATTCAATCCATAGTTGTGCTTTTGGGCAGCGTCTGGTGACAAGTACAAGTTTGAGATGAATGGAAGCCAGTTCTGATCCACATTTCCACGAATAACTGTCAGATAAAGGTTTTCCCCATCACAAAATCCTCTTGCACTAGGCAATACTGCAACAGAATTAGGGGTTGACAAATGGGGGGATTTAAATATAGCCAAAGTGGAATTCTCTTGGATTCAACCAAGCTGTACTACAAGTCTAGCTATTTATAAGGCTAAGTGTTTTCTTTACCAGCATCCTTGACAACAGAAACAATTATGACGGGAACAGTGAACGTCTGACTTGTCGGATATATTATGAATCCAAGTGTAACGTTTAGAGTGTATATTCTTGACTCCTCAGTCATGTACTAGGAAAAAAAAAAAAGTCCCACAGAAAAAAAGTCATATTTAGGAACAACTCTGAGTATTAATCCTGGCTATACACCATTCTACAATAGCCCTTAAATCCATACCTCTTTTTTAATGCTAGGCACATCAAATGCAGCTTCTATTGTGTAGCTCTTAGTTCCATTAGGATATCTAGTCTCATAGATCTCATAGCCATACTGAAAAGCTTCAGGAACAGATACTGTTGTCGTTTCTATGGTGAAGTTCACCAATTCCACATCTGGGAGGAATATTCCAATGGTCGCATTGACCAGCCTGGTGTTATAATCGGTATCTAAGGAAGAGTGGCTTGGCATTAACTTTTATCAGGTCTAAATTCTGCTACTAGATCAAAGTGTACTCAGATACTTACTGTTAACCAAGTTAAGTTGTACGTGTTTAAACGGAGTTTCAATTTTCTTAATTATGGTATGTTTCGTTACTCCCCACCTGTTATCTTGCCACTGATGTTCCAAAATCATGTTGATGATATATTTTGTCCCATGTTCTCCATCACTTACATGAGTCTGAAAGCAAGGAGTCATCATCCTTTATTATACTGTGGTCTTGCACCTCTGAAAGTGTCAAGTAGATACGTACTAGACGAAGATTACTACAGATATGCATCTATTAAATAGAATACAATATTGTTAAGAGAAAGATTTGATTAGGGTGCTTACCCCTCTTCTGCTGCAGAACCAGAGTCCCCTGTGGTTCAGTGGTAAGAGCCTTGTCTGCCACACAGCAGACCCAGTTTCAATTCAACTTGCTTATACAAATACAGCCATGGGGAGGCACCAAGGGTCTGGACTCAGAATCCAAAGGCCAGACTGTCTCAGTAGCCTAAACAGGGGGCAGGGAGGGATGGGGGCGCATAAGGGCTGGTCAGCTTCTATTCCTCCAGGAAAAAAAGAAAAAACAAAAAAAACCCCCGCCCCCACTTAGGCATATGCATTGAAGGTCTGTGTGATCTCTCATGCATACACCATGATCCAGAAGGCAGAAGTTGCATGCTCAGGGAACATGGTTGTCATTGACGACTTCAAAATTACCCAGACATCTCATGGGAAGAGCATTCAACTAGACCTGAATGGTCACGTAGTTCCTTCGCTTGCACTGAGGAGCTTTATTTGACTTAAGAAGTGTGTGGGATGACCAGGGGAAAGGCACTTCTGGATTTGGTTTTAGCCAAAGGGGATAATCTGATGAGTAACCTGAGGATTGAGGGTTATCTGGATGACAGTGACCATGAGACTATCACTTTCACCATCCATTGCAAGGCAGGGGTGGGGGGAAATTCAGTTAGTAGGGTAGAAATCCTTGATTTAAAAGGAAAGCTGACTTGTAGAAGGAGATTGGTGGATGAGGCCCTGTGGGACCATGGTCTGTTGGGGAAGGGGGTCCAAGAAGAGTGGCCGTTTCTCCAGGATATGATCCTTGGAGCACAAAAGACATTCATTCCCCTCCATAAGAAAGGTAGCAGAAGGGCTGGGAGACCTTTCTTAAGGAGGTCCACAACCTCCCTATTGAGCCAGAGAGAAGGAAAAAAAAAAGCGTATAAGAGATGGAAGCTGGGGATTACACCCAAGGAGGAACACACAGGAATGGCTTGCACCTGTAAGGAACAAATTGGCTTCTGCCTCTGCTCTTCTACATACAAAAACTGCAGTAGAAGTCAACAACAGTAAGAAGTCTCTTTAGATATGTAGGAAGCAGGAAAGTGTATACATGCACGGAAGACGTAGGACCAGTGCTGAACACAATAGAACAACTGATAACTGGCATTTGGGAGAAAACTGAACCCCTAAATGAATACTTCATGTTGGTATTCCACCAGACCAAGGATATTAAAAGCTTGTCTGACAGGAAGCAGGACGGACAAGACAGGAGTGAACACCCACCAATAAGATCAGCAAAGATCTTGTGAGGGAATACCTAGTAGATATCCAGCCTCTCTAGTTAGATGAACTACACCTAGGGAGTGCTGAAAGAACTGGCTGATGTTATTACATGCCTGGTTGTAAAAGATATTTAAGAACTCATGGCACCTGGGTGAGGTCCCAGAACACTGGAAAAGGGCCACTGTGGTGCCCGTCTTCATGAGAGAAAGGAAGGAAGGTGGATCCAGGGAATTATTAGGCTAATTAGTCTGACCTCAATCCCTAAAAAATTAAAGATCAAAGAATCCATCAGTGATAGCCCAACAGAAAGCAGTATTCTAAAAGCAGGTTATGCCTAACCAACCTCATCTCTACAATTAGGGAACTCATCACCTGGATAAGGGAAATGAGGTTGACCTCGTACGCTTGGATTTCAAAAAGTTCTTTGATTTGGCCTCCCACAACATCTTCATGGTTAAATTGAGAAAAATTGTGGCCTCAACAATTTAACAGTCCAGCAGCTGGGAAACTGGCTCCAAGATTGGACCCAGAAAGTGTTAATATATTAAATTGAGTCAACATAGCGAAAGATGACCAGTGGTGTCCTTAAAAAGCTCAGTACTCGGATCAGTGCTTTTCACTTTCAATGATTTGGATATGGGAAGTGTACTGGCAAAGTTCACAAATGACACCAAGTTATGGGGGAGTGCCATCATGCTGCAAGACAGCCTGAGGCTACAGGCTGACCTGGACAGGCTTGTGAAGTGGGCAGTTCTAAAACTGATGATGTTTAACAACAAGAAATGTAAAGCACTTCATATGGGGAGAAATAATCCACAACATATTTACAGGCTTGGTGGGTCACTACAAAGTGAACATGAGCCACCAATGCAATGCTATAGCCAGCAAAATGAATACCACTGTGGCATGCATCAACCAATGCATCACAAGCAAGGCTAAAGATGTCATCCACTTACTCTACTCAGCATTAGTGTGCCCACAGCTGGAGTATTGCATCCGGTTCTGGGCACCACACTTCAAGAGGGATATAGAGAAGCTGAAAAAGAGTCCAAAAGGAGAGCCACATGAATGACTGGAGGTCTGAAGAACAGACCATAGACAAGGGGAGGCTGAAGGACATGGGACTGTTCAGCCTGGAAAAGATGACTCATAGGGGACTTGGTGGCAACCTTTAATTACATAAAAAAGGGCAAACATCAGGGGCTAGGAGAACATCTGTTCACCAAGGGAAGACTAGGAATAAACTGATAGAAGATCACTTCAAATTAGACATAAGGAAAAGCCTTCTTATAGCTAGCATGTCCAGAGTCTGGAACAGACTCCTTCCCTAGAGGTGGTACACAGTCACCTTTCCTGGAGATCTTCAAAAAAAGGAGGACTGAACAACCCCCCCCCCCCCCCCCGGGGGAAACGAACCCCACCAGCCTTCCCTCC